AATATGAAGCACGCAATTCGAAAATAACAAGCAACACATTGCAGCAGGCAATGATATATGTATGTGCGAATTGCACACTAAGCAGGTCAACGGGGCAGCGGGGAACATGGACTGCCAGCCCAATAGGAAAGACGTTGAGGCCAAGACCCATTGACCCGTTGAGGCCGAGAGCCAGGAGCAGAGCCAGGCCCAGGAACAGCGACAGGGGCAGTCAGAAGTCATGTCGTGCGTTACGCGGCGTTGCTTAATTGCACGAGAGGTTTTTGGTTGACAGACGGGAACTCGACCTGGACACGGACCTCAAGTATCGAGCGAATAGAAATTGTTTGGCGTCAGACGTCTGAGTGGCTTGCTGTGTGGCGGATGGCAGAGAGTCAAGCTGATTTTCCAAGGAAAACATTGCATAATAACATTGATTATATATGGTGAACTTTTTGTCATACTCCAGATCCAGGGCTACATCTATTTATATTTATAATACAAATTTTATATTTATTGCACCCATATGTTAAAGTTGAAAACTGTTTAGAAATTTCTTTATGCTTTATGGTTTTTATATCTTATGCTATTAATTTATATTCAATAAAATTCGCCGCAATAAATAAGCCCATATATACCCATATTATCGTAGCTGCTGCGATAACTTAGCATTATTCATAATGATTTCACAATATATCACTTATCAGGCGAATAATTCCAAGTGGAACTGGAACGCACAAAACAAAATCAAAGGCTTTATCGTTAGTAGAAAGGAAGCAGCTGGCCTATAAGACTGACGATAAAGAAATGAGTAAATCGTGAGCTAAAGTTTCATAACGACCGATAAAATAATCCAGAAGAGCAGAATTTTTATATTTCTTACTTATCAGAGTATTCTCCATCTGGCGCCAGAAGTCATAAAAATCTAAATCGTGGAAGCCACGACTTTCAAGAGATTTCTACACCTTTTTTTTGGTAAATTATTATGATTGTAGTTAATTAATTAAAGACAAGGGAAAATTAGGCGAGATCTTTTCACAGCCAGCGCCAAGCAATCAAATAAACGAATGTTGAGTTTTCCACAGCTATTAATTGTTACCGTCTCTGACAATGTCTCCGACAATGCTCTCACAAATGTAAATGTCACGAATGAAACGACGCCGAGAGACGAAGGCTGTGGTAGATACACAGACGGCATAAGCCGCGCCGACGCCAAGACACTTAAAAGCTTTGGGCATGGACAGCCGACAGACAGACAGACACACAGAAAGATGTATATATGCATATAGTCAAGCCACATTTGAATTCCTGTTGCAGTAAAGGCATGGAGCTGGAATTTGTCTGCCCGCGTGCCGAAAACTTGTCATTGGTGCTGCCGGTGTGGTCGAACGGGCCAGAGGAAGAGGAGAGAGGGAGAGGAAAGATAGCGTCTGAGATCAATCGTGCTGCCGGCACAGATCAAGCGAAAGCGTTGCTTAATATAGACGCCAGCAGAAGGGTCAAATCGAGATTTCAACGGGTTGTGTGTGGAGCATCTACGCAAGCACATTGTGCTAGCAGCAAGGATATTGCCAGCAAGTTCGTTGCTTAAGTCTTTTGTTTCGCATGCCTTTCACACACGATGTACCAGCATAAAATTGGTCATTGTCACGACTCCCAATTAATTATAAAACAAAATGCATACAAATTAAAGCACTATCAGCAAATTCTAAACAAAAACCAGCAACAACAACAACTACGATAGAGCACCATTTCCGCCATCATTTCAGCAGTTGATAAGCCAAGTGCGCCGCTCCACGGAATAGCGTACCAGTACAAAGTATTCGAGCTATGAGCTATGAAATGAAATTATGGGCTAACACTGTTCTTCTCACAAAATCACCGATTGGAACAATCAGTTAAATGCTCAAGCATGCTTATATCACTCGTTGCTGTTTGAGGGAAGGCTCTTTGCTTATCACTTGAAATATTCAAATTGAGTTTTCTTTCAGTGTTGTTGCTGAATGTGTAGTAGCCGCGTTTCAATTGCGTTTTAGTGGTTGTCAAGTGCCTTTTGGATAGCGACTCAACTCCCCTGCAAGTGTGTGGGACATAGCTTCAGTGCACTCATGTGTCACCACGATGAGTAATTGTCTCAGCTACGGCGCACATACAAAAGCCCTAATTGCATTGCGATAAGCCATGCAGATATATGTACACATATTCACATAAGTAAAAGCACCTATTGCCATCAGGAAATTCTCAATTACGGTGTCTTATCGAATACATTTTGCTACACTGAAATCTTGAATAGGTTGTCTCCTTTGAATACTCATTTGCCACAATGTCACTCACGTGGAAGCAGACAGCAGTCAGTCTAAGAAAAAAAAATATATATGTATATAAAATGTGGCTAAGATTTATTTGTTAAGGAATATTTTAGTGGGAAAATACGAAATACACGCTGACTGCAGTTTATAACTGGATGGAATCAGGAATCAAATAAAATTGATACGTTAACTATATTAATGTGATTTATGTATGCTATTTTTATTCAACATAAATATATTATTAGTAATTAAAGATTAAAGCTAAGTTATAAAGTAAATCACAAATAAATATTCATTTTTACTCACTGTGAATATGTTATTAACTACACTTAATTATAACATAAACACATAATTATTATAATTATTGCTTTATATTGATATTTTAAATTTAATAATTGCCCAGCAAATTTACCAAGCTAAATTTTTACACTCACTCAGTTAACACTTCTTTCATCACAAACACATATGACTCTTAATATGCAAAGTAACTGAATGTAGCCCCACAAATCGCTTGATACACTCTCGAATGCATTTGCTACATAAAAACGCTATAATTACAACTCCAAACTGCCTAAAACACTCAAGAGAGAGACGTCTGCATCTAAAACAAATTCTCATAATTACGCATCAGAAGAAATAAACATACAAATTTGAATAAAATCGATATAACCACCAAACATGGGTCTGAGAGCAGAGTAGAGTTGAAAGCGGATGAGAGCCATTGATGCTGCTGCTGCGGCTGCGGCTGCGGCTGCTGCTGTTGCTGTTGTTGTTGTTGATTTTGTGGCTGTAGCTGCTGGCGTACTTTGCCATTAAGAATCGAACCACAAATCCACTTAAAATCACTACAAAAACCAATAAAGATTTCTTTCATCTTTGCCGAAGGAGCGCGTGAGATGGCAACAGAAACAGAGAGCGAGTGAGAGGGAGAGATAGGGAGAAAGGGAAAGAGAGCACATATTGATCGAGCGACAATGAGACTGAAACAATCATGAGACGATCAATAGCCATTGTAATCAAATGCAATGCACTAGAGCGCTTAAGGGGACTTATGGAATACTTGGGACTTGGGATAGACTTTGGCGGTGACGGTGACGGTGGCGGTGGCGGTGACGCCACTTTGAAATTTCGGTGACATTTTCCAAAATGTTGGGTAGGGCAACTGAAAGGGTATACAGGATTAGTGGAGCCAGAGCAATTATCATTTGTCTGGCTGTTATCAGTCAACTAATATGCATATCAATGATTTTCAACTCATTCTCTATACACTTTTCTTTACTTGCTTTACTTTCATTCAAATTTTAAAATATCGAAGAATTTTCCACAGTGACTCGCTTGGTTCGTGGTTCGTGGTTCCAGGAAAGCGCGTGCCAAGTCTTGTGCTTGTATCGTGGCCATTCCTTCAACGTATTCGCCTGATAAACGTCATAAAACTTAATCACCGCAGCAGCTTCGGATCCAGCTACATATGGTGGCTGCGCCTCGTCAACAAGATCGTGTGGATGATCACATTAACGGGCCGGCGCATGATATATAAAGCTGTTCACAAATTAAGGTCCATTAGCGCAGCAGGATGTGTCAGCGTCAATTGAAATATGCGCTTGTCTGGCTTGCGGTTTTTTTGTTTTGACATCTTTCGTTCCTTCTGCTTCAACAGACTCTCTATCTCTCTCTCTCTTTTTCTCTCTCTTACATCTGATTTGACTCAGTTTTCTCTCGATCTGCTTGTTTTTTGCATTTTAATGGAAAGAATTTGTTTAGCATCCAGCTGGGGAGGAAGGTTGCCAACGAACCTTTTTTGATGGGTGAATTATGTGATTCTCACTGAACAGAAACTGAGGCAAATCGTTTGATTAATGATCCACACCATGGGTTTTAACAATATTGTGAGTGGTATTTGGCCCACTTGTGGTAATCTGCTGAACTGATGATCGACAATGAATAAATGGTCATTAGATGCCAACAGCATTTATATATATATAAGAAAGATTGCAGGAAATGAATGCCAATCTCTGAGTTTCTTAACAGTTCTGATTATGATTGGATTAAAAAAATAAATAAATAAATAAATAAAACAAAATAAATAAAATAAAAAAAATAAAATGAACTGCATGGTATGCTGACAAAAGAGTGATTGATATCAATATATGTATAAATGTGGCTTCTTTATCAACTGTTATATAAGTTAGGTTATACTAGTATTTAGTGTACTCCAAGTCCAAACAAGACTGATATGAACCAGCTATTTTCTCAGTTAAATGTTCATATAAGCTTACATACACACATTTAAATATCCTATTGTTTTCAATATATATAGAGCTCAGTTTTAGCTCCTAAATTCATTCTTCTGAAATGAGCTCACATATATCATTTAATGTGACGTGTTTTTTTTTAAGGAAAAGGCCTCAAAATTTCTCTGAATCCCTTGCAATTAGCGAGGTCACAGTAAATAGATCCTTATTAGGCGCTGGACATACACGCAACCGTCAATTAATTAAACTATATCCTTCGATCTTTGTCATGGTCTCATTTTTATAGGGTCACTGTTTTGGGCACTTGTTCACGCCCACAGCACGATCTAACGACCTGGTGACACTACGGCCGGTGAGCAGCGGGGTCAGCCGGATCAGCGCTGCTAAGCCCGGTCGGCTATCGATCAAGCGGATTACTTTCACGCTGGCTCATGCAGTCGAGTGCCTACCGTTCAGCTAGGCGCAAGTAGCTCGAGTGCCGAGCCTGTTTTCGGTTTCAAGTGCGGGGCAATATCTATTTCTTAAGACTTACATCAAATTGACTAATTTCGCTGCAGCAGCGCAGTCGGCTGCGCAGTAGCTGCATTTGAAATGCACCTACAAATTTTTACCTGTCACTCAGCCGACGGAATCTCCATCTCGCTCTCGTGTCTGGCATCTCACTTGCACACGGCGTTTGTGTGAAGGCAACGCCTGCAAGTGACACTCGAAGAAAGGGAGTAGGCAGCAGCCAGACAGACAAACGGAGAGGGACTGCCTTGCCTGCCCATTGATGAAATTGACTTTTTATGTTGTTGCCGTTGACTTCTCTTCGATTTGCGTGGCGCTGCTCTCGGTCACTGTCGCTGCTGCTGTCTCCGCCGATGTTGACGTCGGCATCGGCGTCGGCGTCAACTGAAACTGGATTTTTGGGATTAAGTTTTTGTTTACTCTGAGGCGTTTTTTAGTTTGTTTGCACGTCTCAAGGAAGTCGGTTCGTTGCGCTCGCGTTCCGCCACAGCAATCACAACAAATATAAATGAAATAAAATAAAAACAAAAGCAACAATTACTCAAATCTGTTAAGTGCTCGTAACTGGATTAATACGAAAATTTATTGCTTTATTAGCCGCATTAATCAAGAGGCTTACAACAAAGCCCATTAAATGCTTAATCCAAACGATCGATCCGCATAAAAAAAAAAAAAAAAACAAATAATAAATGTAACCAAATTCAGCATTTCCAAGTCTGTTGCAATCAATTTTATATTTTTGCATTTCTGTGATACAATTTGAACTTGAATTCCGCGTTACCATAAATCAATCCTTAAACAAGCTGCCAAACAGAAAATCGCGCGAAAAACATAAACCAATAAATTATGGGAATTTTGCTAAGTGATGGCGATGTAAGTTTAGATTTTATATTTCATACCATTCACATATTCCAACACACTCGTTTTACTTCCCAGCTATATATCATAATTTAATTAAACTGGTATTTAAATTTTGAAATGTCTTTATACTTATATTGATATAGCTAGTTAGAGAATCTAATAGGCCCAACTATGAACTGGATCTATTTAGACTAATTATTTTACGACTTCGCTAATCAATAGACTTAGATAAATGCAAATTGAATCATATATTTGTCCGATTGACGCTCTGTCTACAAATCGTAAATTTGAGTCTGTTCTATTCAATCTCACTCAAATTTCGCTTCCCCATATTAGATTATATATCTCTAAAATATGTCAAAATTTAAGGAATTACTAGTAAATTAAATGGAATTTTTCAATTATAAAAATGTTAAATTTCATATTTTTCGAATTTTAATTATTATTTAATTGCATATTGTCTTTACTCTTCACTGTAGCTTTCTAATCGTAACAAAAATTACTAGACATTTGGCACACCTTTCGATGCATAAATAGCATCGAACAAACGTTTACACGAAAAGTAAACTCTATAATATTCAGTTGACATCCGCTAGTTAGAGTTATGAGAGCGCAACGATCCATGAATGAGTCAAGTGTGTGTAGCTGAAGTCTGCGGGAAGAAGTGTGGAGAAGTAAGTGAAACAGGATCCACTTGGCATAGACCTGGCTGGCGCTGTCGTCCACGGAGCGAGCGCACCCGGTTTCAACTTAGCCTAAGCCGAGAGACTTATAAAAAACCACTTAAAGCGCCGCTTTAATCCTAAGTGTTCCCGAACCCCTCCTCGATGTTGTTGGCTTGTTTGTTTTTTTTTTTTCTTCTGTTATTTTTTGTTCGGTTTTATTCATTCACTTGGCCGCCGCTCAAGTGGTTTTCTCTGTTTGTTTTTATTCCTTCATTTGCAGTGACAAATTATTAACGTTCTACTCATCGTCCTCATCAGCGTCGCGACCTGCTGATCCTCGATTTGTGGCTCATTTTTAGTAAATTGATTTTTTATTGCTCTTTATTTTAATTCTCTCCACCTTCATTCTTTTGTTTCTTCTCGATCTTCAGCTCCATCTTCTTCTTCTTGTTTTTAGTTTTGTTTTTGTGCTCGCATTTTAATAAGCGCCTCTTCAGTCACTTCGAAGTGCCTGCGATCGCGCACTGATCCCATTCGGATCTCGATCCTGGCTGTTTGAGGCTGCAACATGTTGACAATTTTTCGTGTGGTCGCCGCTCCTTTGATGAAGCACCGCCTCGAGTATCGGCAATGGACGGCGCTCTCTTTGATCGACTGATCTTCTAAAGGGAGCGACGTCATTATGCACGCGTGGTCAACTCTTTGATGACTCGAATTCTCGTGGTTCTTGTTGTTGCTGTTATGCTGTTCCCCTTACCTCAAATGCGTTTGTGGAACGCTGCACATTTCGTTGGCATTTCGAGAATTGTGTTAAAATGTGCATCAATTGATCTTCTGGCTAATGGGGAAAAGTGTTGCAAACGGCTTTCTTTGCCCACGTTTAATTAGATGGAAATGATCAAAACGCTAATTAGAAACCGGCTGATAGATATGCAGCTTAAATGTGGAATAGTTGCTAAATCATTTGCTTTATTCAGTTCATGTTCTGAAATAAAATCGAAAGTGCCGCCGGCTAAACAATAGCTCTTCTCTCAGACAATATGCGCATAGTCAGTTTTCCTGTATTGAGTAATATGTTATATCGACTCCAATCGAGCTTTTTGTTAAAAATTATTTAACATTTGCGTCTAAATTCTCAAGCCCCTCAGCGCAACAGTTGTATGTGCGCTTGATTTGTGAAAACAGCAGAGATTGAAATTAAAAATTTCATACATCATCGCATTAATATTCTGGGATAAGATAAAGACGTCAAATGTATTTTCGTAAATATATTTCAATAATATATATAAATACAACAAATACATGGAATTGGCGCCTTAATTGATTTTGATGTGAAAAACAGATTTCTTCATTTATATGCCTCTTGGTTATTGAACTTTTTGTAAAGGAGAAAAAGCAACAACTACAAAAGAGACTATGCGGAAAATGTATTGAAAGTCAGGCCATGGCACTTGAAGACATTTCATGTGGTGCAAAAATGTTGAATGATACATTTATTTGAAGTAAAAGGAACAGTAACAAAAAAATTATTTTAATGCTTTCCAATAGTCAACACAAATTCTGGCAATTTGGTGGTAAGAGTAAGATCGTTTTTGGCTTTGAGACGTAATTGAAATACAATTATGATGGTTTTAAATGTGTTGTAAAGCTGGAAATATTACACAAAATTCAAGGATAGTCAAAATAGTATTAATATAGTAAATAATAAAGAAAACCGATTTTTTTAAAACCCTGTTCACTGGAAAATCACAATAAATATAAAACTTATATTTATTAAATTACTAACTCATTGTAATGTCATGTTGACCATTAAGCCGGTTAAAAAGTAAAAATCTCAATATTTCTGTAAGATATGGTAATTAAAAGTAATTAGTTTCCAGTGCTAATTTACTTTAATATAGCTTACACTACTTTGTTTATTTCGACTCTTGAGACACTTACACCTATATGATACAGACACACCTCAACAGGTTTTTGTGCCAGTAAAATTATGATTAATATTGTTGATAATGAATATAGTGCATCCCATATAATAGTTATGACCATCATTAAGAAAGCTACGTCCAAAGCCCACGTACATATAGCATATATGTATATGTATATATATGCAAAGAAAAAAGTGTGGAGCCTACGCAGGGCGAAAAGTTGAAACTCACTTGTGAGTGCTGCAAATGCACAAAGATACAAAGACGAGTCACAAAAGATGCAGCGCGCCATTCATTTAAGATGAGATGGAATGGAAGGGCACTGTTGGGAAAACGAGTTTTGAGAGGCAGAGAGAGGGTGAGAAAGAGAGAGAGAGAGATAGAGGTAGATAGAGAGCACATGTGTGTGCATGCGAGTGTATGGTGAGGGAGCCCAGCAGCTCTCAAGAACTGCAGCAAGAGGCAGCAACCAAAATGGCTACGCGCAACGGGGTGCCGCCCATTGGCAGCTGCACCTGGGAGACCGAAAACAGAACTGAGCGAGGGAATGGCATTGGGTTAGAGAAAAAGCCAGTTGGCCTGACAGTAGATAGAGAGTGACAGATAGGAATGAAGCGTGAGCCAAAAAGAGAGAGAGAGAGAGAGAGAGAGAGAGAGTGTGTGTGTATGTTACTTTGATCTAATTAGTTGTCTTTTGTGGTCATCTCTTTTGCAGTCGACCTCGGATCAACAGTCAACGCCTGACTATCCGCAGTTGAGCGGCGACTACCACAACGTGCAGCTGCAGGTGGCCGCCGTCGCTGCCAGCTCCAAGATGTACCATAGCAGCAGCGCCGCTGCGGCTGCCGCCTACACTGATTTGGCTGCAGCTGGAGGAGCCGCCGGCGTCTCTGGCTACCATCACCAACAGGCGGTGAATGCGCCCGTATATGTGCCCTCCAATCGCCAATACAATCACGTAGCGGCGCATTTTGGCAGCGCTGCAGCGGCCCAGAACGCCTGGACCACGGATAGCTTTGGATCGGCGCATGCGCAGCTGCCGGCGCAGTTCTACACGCAAAACGCCGCCGTTATGATGGCGCCCTGGCGAAGTGCCTACGATCCAACTGGCTTTCAGCGCTCCTCCCCTTACGAGAGCGCCATGGACTTTCAGTTTGGCGAGGGGCGCGAGTGCGTCAACTGCGGTGCCATCTCCACTCCCCTTTGGAGACGTGATGGCACCGGCCACTATCTCTGCAACGCTTGCGGTCTGTATCACAAGATGAACGGCATGAACCGGCCTTTGATAAAGCCCAGCAAGCGACTGGTGAGTGCAGTGAGTAGCCACAGCTCTATTGTCAGTCAATATCCATACTAATCCCTTCCCGACTCCAACAGACCGCCACACGTCGCCTCGGCCTTTGCTGCACCAACTGTGGCACTCGCACCACCACACTCTGGAGGCGCAACAACGACGGGGAGCCAGTGTGCAATGCCTGTGGGCTCTACTTCAAACTGCACGGCGTCAATCGGCCGCTGGCGATGCGCAAGGACGGCATTCAGACCCGCAAGCGGAAGCCCAAGAAAACTGGCAGCGGCTCCACCGCGGGAACTAGCTCGGGATCGGGCTCAACGACTGAGGCCATCAAGGAGTGCAAAGAGGAGCATGGTAAGCAAAGCAAGGCTAATAAAACACAACAAGGAGAATTTACCAATACCAAGAACTCGAGAACATCCTCGTCTTAGCATATTTGCTGTTTTTCTGATCCTTAGATACATTGAAAGGAAATGATGTTCCAGATGATGTTGTTTTAGATATTGTACACTTATTATACTAACGTTCGATTTCAAGTTTTTCTAACCTTAGCTTTGTTCACTTTCCCTATGCCTTGCAGATCTCAAGCCCACGCTTAGCCTGGAACGCCACGGTCTCAACAAGCTGCATACGGATTTGAAGAGCAGCAGCCTCATGGGCCAGCATCATAGCCAGCAGCCGCAGCAGCAGACGGTGCCGTCGCATCAGCAATGCTTTCCACACTATGCCCAGCAACAACAGCAGCAGCAGCAGCAACAGCAACAACAGCAGCAACAGCAACAGCAACACCAGCATCAGCAGCTCAGCCACCAATCACAGTTAAGTGCAAGGCAGTTGCATGCAGCCAGCTCGCAGCTGTATACGCCCGGGAGCAGCTCCGCGGCCTCTGCGTATACGACGCACAGCAGCAACGCGCCGGACACGCCCACACTGAGCAACGGCACGCCCTCGCCGCACTACCAACACCACCACTTGGCGAGCAGCTCGCACGGCCACCACGCCACAGCAGCTCATCATCATCTGCACACGGCAGCCGCTGCTGCGGCATATGGAGTGAAGACGGAGGCAAGTGCCACCAATTATGACTATGTGAACAATTGTTACTTTGGAGCCTCGTTTGGTGCCTTGGGCGGTGCTGCCTCGTCGGCAATGGCTGGTGTGGCGAGCGGCGATCTGGCCGGCTATCATCATCAGCACAATGTCATCCAGGCCGCCAAGCTGATGGCCACATCCTGAACGGAAGCGATCTCTGTGATCTCGTACCCACACAGCGCACAGCAGACACCATCGTTGGAGCTTCGTTGGAATCTATATTGAAAAGACTTTGAATTAGTTTTAAAAAAGTTGCAATTAGTTCTCTTATGTAATTCTTGTAAATAACTGCACGAAAGTTTTGTACAAATTTTTGTTTATAGCTTCGTTCCGTTGCATTTAAGTACCCAAATAGTCTAAGGTTTAGCTACTACTATATATTAATTGTAAAGTGTTTACATTAATCTCTTTCTCTAATTAGCATAAATTATCCATATAGAATAAAAAGCACATCCAATCATAGATCATTTAGCCATACGACTAGTATATTACCCATAAGTCCATGCATATTACCATTTAAATAAAAATTAACTTAAACATACATTCACTTTAGCAACTGATTTTCTTTTTGGAGTAAAGGGTTAATGCTGAGTATATTTTATATTCGCTCAAAAGTATGCGTCACTTAAAATCGCAACATTTTGTGACCTCTTCAAGGTATGCAACAAAAATCAAGTGTGGTAAGTTTCATTTGATCGTGACGTCTGGTTGAGGCGGGCTGAATGATGATAATAAAATCTTTTAATAGTAAATACCAGAAATACTAGCATTTTGCCGAGTTCTTTTTATACAAACTACTTTACAAATCGTACTGATAAAACTTTGTAATTTATTTTTGGAAATTTGCAACATATAATGTTGTTTAATATATTAACTGATTTTATGTTATATATATGTATGTTTCATATAACATTTAAAAACTGTATTTGGTTTACTTTTTAGTGTTAATTTAAAAACGTGCTTTCAACATTTAGTATATATGTAATTGCATATTACCAATTATGTTTATAGGGAAATCCTATACAAGTCATTTAAAGAAGCAAAAAAGAGACAAAACCGCTTTACACTATATTTTATGGGGCTTTAATCGGTCAATGTCGCCTCTATAAGCCGGTGGTACTTCAGCTTACATTGCAGTAACATACATTGCATATAAATAACTAATTAAAATGGAATCAAGTGAAGCTATTGAACCCAAGGGGGGCGCACAGAAGAAAACATGTGTTTTGACTAAGTATATTTGGGTTTGTTTGGTTCGTCTGCAGTTATATGAGTAGGTCAATTTGGTATTGCAAAAATAAGGGAGCAATCCAAACAGTTACGTGAATATCTGTAGAGCTGTTAGCTTTATAATAGAAATAGTCGAAACAGAAAAATTTCGAACAAAAGTAAAAAACTCTAAATCAAAGTGTGCGTAAAATTAATTATTACATTCCATCCAAATGGAATAATAAATAAATTAAACCTTAACTGTCGTATTGATTAATTAGAAAATGGAATTAAATAAAAATAATTAAAAAATAAAATATTCTAGTGTGCAAATATATAGATAACTAAAAGCTATTTACATGTTTTTTTTTTTTTAATGTATAAGAAATACCAGGAATTTGTTTCTCGCCATAAAGGAAGCCAGACATATTTACATACAGAAATATTATATAATAACAGGATTATATTTTTCTTGTTTATATATTTTATGTCGGTATCCGTAAGTCTGATGGGGCAGTCGGTAAGGAAGCTGCTTCAGCGCTATCAGCGATAAGGCAACGGAGGCTGTACAAAACAATAAAAACTAAATTAATAAATAATAATTTTTTTTTACAACAGTCGGCTAATTCGGCCATTTCCGCACGCGATGAAGCGTTTGAAGAGCAGAAAAGAGATGCTGATATAATGGTGAATGTTTGGGAAAGAAAAAAGTATATAAAAACTGGCCTCTCTACTGTCGCAATCACAACCTTGCCAGGGGGTCTGGGTCTGCACATGCAACAATATAATAATAGTGGAAAAAAGAGTTACACACGCACACACTGTAAGCATATTAATGTTTTTTTAAACGCCAACTTTTATCTTAAACATCGGCTAAGATAAAGCCAAATGATCGGGCACAATGTGCGCAATGCTAATGTAAGTGACTGCATAACAAAAGACTTGCAACCGGCCGCCGAGGCAATGAAGCACAGACAGTCAAGCGAGCTAAATCGCAATAAAGCCAACTCAACAGCCATGACAGTGAGGCCCCTTTGCTGCGCTGTATGCGTAATACCAGAAGTAGTCAACAGGTGAACAACTTTAGTGAAGCTGCCCCTGGGCGCTGAGAGGAGGGAAAGCCGGTGGTGAGGGCATCTCAGCGGGCTGGCTAGCGGTAGTCGGTGGCGCAATGGACAGAAAGAGAAAAACAAGTTGGTGGCGTATACGCAATAAACGAAAATACGATCCAAAACAAAATAAAAATCCAGATATCAGAGCAACAAATGGTTGATTAAACGCATATCAGGTTGAGGCTTAACTTGACTGCGGTACATTTATATTTGCAGATATTTGGATTGAATGAATATGTATTTAACATTGATGGAAATGTAAATATAAAATAATAATATATTATTTTATTTGATTGTAATAATATATTATTTTACAATATATGGAATACCCATATATAGTGCTTATTGCCAAGATGGCTATAAAACCAGTCAACCAACTGCAGGGTATCAATTATTGAGCGACATTTCTTGCTATTGTCTCTACTATCAGTGAAAGTGATGGTAAGCGGGTGTAAGCGGTTGTAAGCGGGTGCAAGCGGGTGTAAACGGGTGTGTCTTGCAGTTCAAATGCGGTTTCAAGTTTTGGTTACCACTTTGGTCGGCTGCTGCAGCGACGGGTTGCGGCATCTTTAGGACAAGTGCAAATGTAAACAAAAAGTTTTCGAAAAGTGGTCGCGCACCCATACACTGACAACTAATGTCATGGTTTCATACAACATTTCATGTGGCTGCATGAGCAATTCGGTTTGAAACGTCGTCGACAACGGACGCGCACAACGGACAAATTTATCATAACTCGATTACACGAGCTCCCCAATAAAGGAAGCTATTCAAACAAGGATATTTAGTGGTTAAGCATGTTTTTTTACACAGCCAGTTGGAGCTTATGTGTTATCATTTATCTAATACCAAGTGCATCAGCCTACACAAGGGAAATATTCAATGATAAACCGCCACTGCAGGAGAGACGTAAGTATGACGAAAATGGAATAAAGTAGTATCAATACTCGATTCAACATTAGTCTCATAATATATTGACGCAATCCAAGAAAAAAGAAGAAATTAACACAAATCGTGATATGTCGGAAGTGAACAAAAAAATCTTGTATATTAAATATAAAGCCGTAAAACCAATATTTAGTAAAATAAAAATCGCACAATAAAAAAAGAATATGTAGAGATATAAAATATATTCACTAATAAAGTTTAAGGACTGCTGTGCATATTTGAAGTTTCCTTTATATTTGCTTATATATTGTACAGTCATATTCATATATAGGGAAAAAAAAAGTAAAATATTAAAAAATTGAATATGAAATATGTATACAAATATTTATTTTTATAGTTTATTTATTTATTTCTTTATTTCTTTTTTTATTTTATTTATTTCTTTTTATTTTATTTTTTTATTTATTTATTGTTTTTTTTTTTTTTTTTTTTTTTTTTTTTTTTTGTCTACCAGTCGTAATATACGTCTCTTTATAAATTTATATTCATATAAAATATTTATAATATAACACATTTTTGATTAAGTACAAAGTATAAGAAATATTGGTAGACTTCGTAGAAAAAAATCTATACACTTATTTGTAATAAATAAAAATGTAAACTATGTAAGTTATATTCTTCTAAGTAAACAATACGATGATCTTCTTACAACATTTTATAACATAAATAAAGTAGGTGTGGATTTCTATATTTTTGTACACAGCGCCATGGCTACAAACGTGTAAACGATCCAGTCCCAATGAGAACAAATGTTTCCGCCAACTGTTCGAAGGCTGCTTCCCAGCTTTGGCTGCTGGAATACCAGAAATTGGAGTTAAAAGCTTTGAGCCACTGAACATTGATCAGGTATCCGTATCCAAGGGCAGCGGAAATCTGGTGCTATCCGGGGGCTTCCAGAATCTAGTCGTACGCGGACCCTCCAACGCGACAGTGCGCAGTGCCAGGTAACTAAATGCAAAGTGATATTTATATACAAATACATTATTTGATGTGTAATTCAATGCTTATGCTGATTAGCTTGGATCTGGCTCGACGTCAGCTGAATTTCGAGCTGGAACTGCCACGGCTGCGAATTCGAGCCAAATACAATCTGAAGGGCAACATACTATTGCTGCCTCTGGTTGGCAACGGCGATGTGGCCATGGCATTAAAGAATGTGCGTACAGCCGTCTATACGAAAATATCGCTGCGCAATGAAACCCTGACTGGCGATGAGATCATACACATTGATGAGATGAAAGTCAGCTTTCAGGTGGGCGCTATGCGTATTCACCTTAAGAATCTATTCAATGGCAATGAGATTTTGGCCGCTTCCATTAATGCATTTCTCAATCAAAACGGCAACGAAGTGATAGCAGAGCTGCGCCCTGATCTGGAGCTGGGATTAGCGGATATTTTCCATGGCTTGTGGAATAATGTCTTCTCAAAGATGCCCACCAAACTGTGGCTGCTCTAAAAGCAGTTGCCGTGAATTGTGTTACAAATATAATATATATATTTATATATTGATATTTATATATTTAATATTAATATTTAAATATATATATTGTATTAAAATAATATATAATTTATTATTAAATTCAGTTTTGTTACTGCTTGTAATTATATATGTTTTTATTACCTACCTATAATTAAATCTATACTTTATTTAAATATCAATTGAGCTGTTCACATTTTCTTGGAGGGCAGCAGATCATCGTAGCTAAAGGCATCGAACAATTTGTCAACGGATGCACGCAGAATATCCACCAATGCCTTGATCATCAGTGGACGCACTTCATCCGACAGTGACCGCCAGTTCTCGTTGAGAAAATCGTTCATGCGTTTGCCTAGTGCCTTGTCGCCATTGAAGAGATTGTCCAACTGCATGTGCACATCGGCAAGCTCGTATTTAACCTTTATGTCTTTGATCTTCAAATGGGTGGCGCCGTCCTTCTTATACTCCTCGCCAATCATCTCCGTGACCATGGTAATATTCGCTAGAAAATGTAACTTGATTAAAAGCTGTTCACATTACTCAGATAGACTAACATACACAGCTCGACTTTACAGTTTCCATCTCCCAGCATTGGCATCATCATGATCTTGCCTTTTATGCTATATTGCGATTCCAGCTTTAATTTGGGAAAGGTAATCCCTAGTGCGAACTTCAACTGGCTGGGAACGATGGTCAGATTGTGCAGAGTATGCTTCGATATGCCCGATATCTTCACATTTTTGTACACCGAATGCAAGTAAATAGCTCCGGAGTCCTGATCCATTTTAATCTCGGGAACACGCAGTGGCTCCATAGGTGGTATATATAGTTCGGGTATACCGTCCATTAGACGTGACTCCAGTGATTCAAAGGATGAACGAGCACACGCATTCAAGTCCGGGGAGTCGCGATAGCAAACCTTGAGAAACTCAGCTGCATATGGTTATAATCACTCTGTAAGCAGTACGTATAAATACTAAATACTTACGCAATTTACTCGACTTTCCTTTGGGCTTAGCCAGCGACTGGACCGCCAACCCCACCAGCAATAGGGTGATAAATATTTTACTTTCCATTTGTTGACTGCGACGATTACTGTATGTGTACCTCTCACTGGTGTCGAGCGTGTTCTGTGGATTTTCAGCCACTGCTCCACTGCTTTTATAGCTGAGAACAACGGCCATAAGGTGACGCATTCAATTCTGCCAGACTGCAATTTTCCGTGACATTGCAATCCTAAGCAAATTTGCAAAGCCGCACCAACACAGATGTTTTCCAATTGAGTTGCACTTATGTATTTATAAATAATGCTTAGCTTTAAATTATTTACCAGCAACTTCAATAACATAAAAAACATATATAAGAAAAATATATAAAACAATCAAATATTTTATATTCTTTGTTTCCCCAACTTCAATATATATCAAACAGTAATCTGTATAAATAATAAAGTATGTACCAATAATAAACAGCTAACTCTCTTCTGGGTAACTGCTGATATATACAAATCAAAACAGACTTTCAGCTTATAAGTTAACAAAAATTTCTGTGCGCCAAGTGAATAAATATAATTAATTTGAGAATATCTTATTTCATTCATAATAAAAACAAATGTAGAAGTAATGGGGTAAATATATGTATATATTTTTTTTTTAACAAATATTATGAACCAAATACGACGTTTGAGTAAATACTTAACCCATAGATGAATGTAAAAAAAATAAAATAAACATAAAACGCAAGATATACATAACATAATAAGAGACAAATTTAACGTTGCTTTACAAAAGCAATAACAATAACAATATAAAATATCAAATTGTGATTATGTTAAAGCTCTCAAAACTGCATTGAACTTCCATGCAAAATAAAATAAAATACATATTAATATATACATATTAATATCAAGCAGTAATCTGGAAGACATTATAATTACAGGGTTTCTAGCTGTGTTCAATGTCCATTTCCTGCTCCATTCTGGAAAAAATACAGCAAAGAAATTAGACGTCGGAAAATATAATAAAAAATTCAATTTACACACAATTGACTGATGCTCATCGCCTGGGAGATGATGTTATCGGTAGTCAAACTATCGAAAGGATCCAAACTAGGTGGTGTTTGAATATAAGCACAGTCAATTTTCATCATATCCATAGCTTTATTCAGTTGAAATATGGGTGGCGAATGTATCGGATACAACATTTCCAATTGCAATTGCAATAGCTCCTCTTGAACTGTCTTTAGATTCTCCATAGCGTTCTGCACATTTATAATTTTTGTGAAGCGAAAATGCGTTGCATTTATGGTCATGCGTACATTTTCGATGCCTTCATTAGCGAGAAAGGCATTACGAGCTCGGGCAAATTCAATAGCGATATTTTGCAGCTCTGTGGACGTTATAGCATCGGCAAAGATATACATTCTTTGAAAAGTCTTACTGCAAGGAAAAAAAAAGTTGTTCAATGAACTTTTAAGCATACTTATAAAAATATTTGTCTGCTTACATATTGTAAATATCAGTTTTAAAAATCTTGTTATAAATGTCTTCACTCGCCATAATTGCATCTTTCCGTGCGATACGCAATATGGATTCATAATGATGGATGATGGTCTCGATAGATTTGACGATTTTACTATGTTTTCCAATAACACTCATCAGTTTGGATTGCCATTCTTGGTTATTGCCCTACAATAGTAAGATTAAGATTTTTGAAAGTTATTGAAAAGTCAATATCTTGTTCTTGCTTTTTATTACCAATTGAAACTTGTTCTGTTCTTTTGCAGCAGTTATTAGGGCATGAAACTGCTCAATAGCCCCACAGCACTTATCCTTTTCTCTTTCTAAAGCTTTAATCATGGGCTGACACTCGAGAATGTCGTGCTCCAGAGAGAGCGCATACTCCTTATATCCACAAAGTAGCATTTTAGCGAGTGTTTGCTCTGTACTAAGGATATAATGCATATCCAATATCATGCGTCTAGCCAGCCACTTTTCTAATTTGATATCACGTTGATTATTGAAATGCTTTAGCCCATCGGGAATATTTGGCACGGGTGGCTTAAATGTTTGCTTTTCCATTACATTAACGATGTAGAGCATAACTGGTGGATTCCGAGATTCCTCACTACTATCTCGCCACTCGTCTACATAGAGATCAATGGGTTTGGTTTCTGCTGTCACACGCTTGTGTGGATGACCCGTAGGTAACACAAAATAAAACGTGCTCATTTCCAATTTTGTGTCGCGTGCAATTAGCTTTAGCAATTCCTGCATCTTCATCTCGGGCATCAATTCGTATTCCAGGAGCTTGTAGATGCTCACAACAAAAACAGTCAGCACTTTCATCTGCAACATTCGATCGACCTGAGTAAATATTGCAGGTCCTGCAACTCCATCTTGTACTTCATCAGTTGCTGTCAGGGCGCCACGTCTTGAATGATCGTTGTCGAGTGCCAGGCGCAGCCACTTAATAAATTTCGCCAACCACGGTTCGCTCAAATGGTGTCCAATGGGTATATCGTTGTGAAAGAGAAAGCGATTTGGATTCTCAAAATCTTCTGTTATGGCAATACAGTCGCGATTCTTTTTCTTAATATTGATATGAATATTGACAACAGTTTGGTGGGGTATGAAGGGCAACACACCAGTTGCCACCTCGTAGGCAATCACGCCCATTGACCAGTAATCCACCGTCTCCTTGTACTTGCCAGTGTCTACCACCTCGGGTGCGTAATAATGCCTAGTGCCAACGACGCTTTGCTGAGTCGTTTTCTCCGGAGAATCGCGCGCCAGACCAAAATCAGTTAGTTTGAACATTTTGCGACCATTGCCCGTATGGTGTATCACAATATTATCTGGCTTTAGGTCGCGGTGGCAGATTCTGCAGTTGGTGTGCAAGAAGTCAATGGCTTGTCGAAGAGAAAATAAAATCTCACGCACTTCAAATTCCGACAGACCTAAAAAAAACAATATTAGTACCAAACAGTTTTTTATTATAACAACAATATTAAAATTATTTTTCAATAGTAGAAGCGAAATATACAGTTTAATCGCAGTTTTAGCTGTTATTAAATGGATTTTCGTTGTTATTAACTGGTTAAAACTAGTTATTGACGCTAGTTTTCTCAGAATCATAAATATCCGTTATCAGATTCAAAATCAACAACAAACATCTTTAAGTGGTATCTTAATTGAGAATTGAAGACAACAGAAAAGAAATTGGAGTTTACTAAATGTCTCTGCTCACCGTTTGCATTTTGTGGTTTTTCCAAAAGTTTTCGTACATCTCCCCCATTGCAATACTCGAGTACTATAACGGGCAGCCTCCAGACGTGATTGCGATTTAAGTACTCAATAAACGCCTTCGAATCATTGCTCAGTTCAATGCCAGCTACAATGAAAGCCTTTTTGAATTTGCGCGACCATTCCCACTCTTGAAGCCAGCGATTTTTCATAGTTTCCTGCTGATCAACGCTTATTTTGTCTTGTATGTCATGCTTGATGTGTTTGGTGGCTGTTTTAAGATAAACAAAATATTCTTGTGAATGTGTGTGAGACAGCAAAGCAGTTTCCTTTTTTTCATTCATAGTGTTTCGAGTAACGATCTCTTTACTTATCAGTTCACGCACACATAGAAACAATTCAATGTAAACAAACAAACTCTTGAATCAGCAATTTCTAGGAATTGACTTGCACTCTATGTATGTATGTTTACATATATGCATGAGTGTTTGTATGGGTGTTAGGGCATCCATATATAGTTATATATATATGTATGCAAAAGTATACTATAGAAATATTTTACGAAGCACGTACTGATATATGTATTACTTGCATACCTATTTCCTGGTTTGTTTTGCGGTTTTTCCAATGCTTCACTTCGCCGAAGCCCCCTTTCCCTAGATGGCCCTTTAGCTCCCAATCACCAAAACGCAACGAATTAGGCGGCATTCTAATACTTTTTTATATAAAACTTCTTCAAAATTGCAAGATATTTCCGAAATGTATATTAATAGCGGAAGACCATCTCAACAGCCTGTTGACAAGTTAACATCGATATGTGCCGCGATTAAGACTAAAATTCTTTGCAATAGGCTGTCATCGATTCCTCTAGAGAGGAGTGATATTCGATTTTGAAGTGATCTAATATCCGCGACAAAATTTATTGAAATGTCTACATAAAAATTAAATAACAAGAAATATCTATATTTATTTATCACTTAATGTATAAAATTTAAATTTATTTAATAATCTAATATAATTTAATAAAGATTAAAACATTATGCTGATAGAATAGATAAAGAAACATTTGTGTAAGTGCTACCATATGTATGGTTAGTGGTGCCACTCATGTGCGATGATTCATTCACATGATGTTGCACATCTCTAAAAAGCAAGCAAACAGGTTGTAAACAACAAGCATTTGAATTTTCCTAAGTACCTATTTATGAATAAGAGCTACCCTTTAAAGAACGTGTATGTGTAAAAATGCGTTTCCACATGAACGGCAGCAGCGACGAGAGTGATATTGTTACTGCGACAGCCAGTGCTGAGCACATTCGCAAGTTTGTATTTGGAGGCGGCACCGATGCAGCCGCTGATCGCTTGGAAATCAAAATACCTGAAGTAAATTTAACAAAATGGTTACAATGAAGCCAAAAATTAATCAAGTAAATCACTGTTGTAAATTTAGATTCTACAGGGTACTTACTCATTCTATACCTGGCCTTGTGCTCCGATTCTCGCCCATTTTTTGTGGGAGCGACGGCAAACTCTTGTCTGCAAGCGAATTCTCGAACTGGGCGCTGGAACTGCGCTACCCGGTATAGTTGCCGCCAAGTGCGGAGCCCAAGTGGTGCTCAGTGACAATTGCATTCTACCCAAATCCTTAGCACATATACAAAAGTCCTGCCTGGCCAATCAGTTGCAACCAGGTGTGGACATCGATGTCGTCGGCCTCAGTTGGGGGCTGTTACTGAACAGCGTGTTTCGGCTGCCTGTTTTGGACTTGATCATAGCTGCCGATTGCTTCTATGATCCCAGCGTTTTCGAGGACATAATTGTTACGGTGGCGTTCCTGTTGGAACGAAATCGTGGTGCTAAATTCATATTCACCTATCAAGAAAGAAGCGCTGATTGGTGCATTGAGGCGCTGCTTAAAAAATGGAAACTACATGCGTCGAGCATCAATATGGATGAGATTGGAAAACAGTCCGGAGTTGATTTGCTTGAATTTATGGGTGGACATACAATACATCTGCTGGAAATAACGCTAAGTGATCCGCAGTAATAAAGAAGTAAAACCAGAAAATGAGCTAGAAGTTCTTATTATTCTTTACAGTTATGCTTAACAGAGCTGCTCCTCCTTTTAGCAGAGCACTGTTGTAAGTAAATGTAAATGCGGCAATGCCATTCACACTGAATGCCCATTAGTATTTCACAGACAGCGAGCGTCGCTGCCGCCGTTTAAAAGTCGTGCACAGTTTTGTTATTTATTTTCAAGACGAAAAATTATTTATATTATTTTGTAAAATAGTGGCGTAAAGCACAATTAAATTGGTTAGTATAAAGTATTGTTGTTACGGCACCAGCTTGGAATTTCGTTTTCGCATTGTGTCGCACAAAGCCGTGTGTCAGTGTCAGTGGCAATTTTTGTGTGCGTGTGTGGGTTTGTATGAGTATTTGCCTGTGTATTGGCTTGCCTTCTATGCGCCTGTGAAAAATCGAAGTTATTGCATTACGTTGCGCCAGCTGCCCAGCTGTGTGCGCCCTATGGGATTTTGTTTTATTTAATGGTGAGTGCTGCAATGGAATTTAATAAGACGCATATAAAAGCAGCTTTGTTGGTATTTTGTTGCTGCTGTGGGCGTTAATTGTCGCTTGTGTAGGGCAGTATAATGGACGCTACTTTAAATTAATAAAACTAAATTTAATTATATGTAAGAAGAAACGGTAAACGACGGCATTTTGTGACGCATGACGCTCTTTGAGAAACATTTGCTGTTATGATTGATCCGTTAATTCGAAATCGCGAGAGAAGCGTCACACTCACTAACATGATTTCAATAAGAGTGGAGTGCGAAACAAAATAAATACAAAGCTGAGCTGTGCTCGCCGAAAGGGGTAATTGACATAAACAACCGTTCATCTGCAATGCGTTGATCAGTCCTTAAACTGTATTAATATTATTAAGTAGCATTAATGAAGAAATATTCCAAATATGGTAGTGTGACCAAGCCATACATACACATGTATGTGTATATTTTAGTTGTATGTATCTTCAAGCAGTGTTTTTCGAACATTTCTACTGCATCCTTATCAATAAATTAAACATACTTAAAATTAATTAACTCAAATATAATTATCTGCAATACAAACCCAAAGAGGAAGGTATTTAGTTGACGCACGACGCTTTTTAAGAAACATATGATTGATCCGTTAATTCGAAAACCCGAGGGAATGAGAGAGCGTCACACTCACCAATCGCTTTTCGTAAGAATAGAGCGCCAAATGAGAGAGTGAGCCGACTCATGTAAACGATATTCACGACCAGTAAATACTCTTCGGTATCTACAGTTGCGTGTCTGTGCATCTAAAGGCTTTGTTTATTAAGGGAAGAAATGGTTATTTACATGTCTGATTTATGAAATGTCGCGCTGCTGTTTGCTTGTTTGTAACTGTATGAGTGTATGAGTTCATCATGGGCGCGTACCCAGTGCTCAATCCTTGCGATTTTTAAAAATAAATGTGTTTATGCCATAAGAATAGAACTTAGCATTAATGAAGTCAAATTCTAAATATGGCCATGCGACCTATTTAATTTTGTCGCTTCTCCAAGTAGTGCCTTCCAAGCGTATCGGCTGAATTTCTGGCTAAGCATTTCATCCACAATTAAGCGCAATTTGAAAGCATTAACTGTAATTCCCATCATCATCAGAAAGTTCTGCTCGATTGAGTTAGTTTTGCTTTTGATTTTCAATTTCATGTATCAACATAAACTTTTCAACAATTTTTTAATATCAATTGATTATTTCACTTTCAGCTAGTTGCTTGTTCGTTGAGCTAAACCCATAACCAAGTCACGGATTGCAACCGTACATAGACAAATACATTGAAATGGCCGAGGATACCGAATACAAAAAACTTCCTATTGAGGAGAGATGCGTTCACAAGCTGTGGAAGGCGCGTGTCGATGGTTACGAGGAGGCTGCAAAAATATTTCGTGAACTGGACGACGAGAGGTCACCGGAATGGTCAAAATATGCGGGTCTCATAAAGAAAATGGTTGTTGACTCCAATGCTCTTGCCCAGGAGAAGGGCTTGGAGGCAGCTCTCATATTTGTAGAAAATAGCAGCCTTGCTGGTCGCACTGTTGGCGATGTAATGTCTGGAATTGTTCAGAAATGTATTGCCGCGCCCAAGACCAAGACCAAGGAACTCGCTGTGCAGGTCACACTTATGTATGTGGAGATCGAAAAGCACGAGGCAGTCGTAGAGGAACTCGTTAAGGGCATGGACCACAAAAATCCTAAAATTGTGGCCGCCTGCGTAGCAGCAACAACACAAGCGATGCGAGAATTCGGCTCCAAGGTAATTGGTGTTAAGCAATTCATCAAGAAGTTAGCTCCCCTCATGGCCGATCGCGACAAGGCAGTGCGTGATGAAACCAAACAGCTAGCCGTTGAGAGCTATCGCTGGATTGGCGCTGTCATGAAGACACATATTTCTTCATTGCCACAAGTAACCATTAAAGAATTGGAGGACGAGTTCGACAAATTAAAGGGTGATCGTGCTGAGCCAACCAGGTAATTTATTAAAATTTAGGTCAGTTGTCCATAAATAAATTATATTTATTTGCAGATACCTTAAATCGCAACAGGAGAAACAGGCTAAGATTGCTGACGAAGCCGCAGCCGGTGCCGAAGATGCATACGATGGTAAAAAAGCAGCTTAGCATACCTATTATTAAGTTTACTATAATGACCTATAAACAGACAATATATCACCTCCCAGCCGAAAATCAATCAAGAAATATCGTAAGCAAGTACGCAAAGAAAGGTCTATTTTTTGCTCTCCGAAGTGTGCATACCGGTCCCTGCTAGGTATATTTCCCTCTCACAATGCTCTGAGTTATTACACATCGTAGGTCGCTGAGTAATTATCTTTGGTGATTTATTACTTTTCCAAATTCAACTATACTTATTTACTTTTTTTACATCTATTTTCACATTAATCTTATTTCTGATGTCTTATCAACATGAATAAACAAACGAATCATCTACCAGATTTAATACAATTGTAACTTGCAAAATAGAAAACAAATACCCCATTTGTTTTTAAATATAATCTCAAAATTCTAGGCAAATATTAGAATCATTTTAAATTATTTAGATTTCGCCTAATTAAAGTAAAAACAAATTAAAAACAGATTTTTAATAAGTTTTTAAGTATATAAAAGAAATTTTATATGGGGCAGTGGGTAATTTTTTTATCGAAGGCGACAAAGAAAAACCCGACGAACAAACATTAATTTCCTTGTTAAAATTACATATTAAGTATTATATAGATATATATATGTTATAAATGATTTTTCACTTTTGTTTTGTGCAGATGAAGATGGCGAAGCTGGCACTGAGGATGTAGATCCAATGGATCTTATAGATCCTGTCGACATATTGTCTAAAATGCCTAAAGATTTTTACGACAAGCTCGACGAGAAGAAGTGGACTTTGCGTAAAGAATCTTTGGATGCATTAGAAAAGCTGCTCACGGAAAATCCAAAGTTGGAAGCTGGTGAATATGGCGCCCTGGTCAGCGCATTGAAAAAAGTTATTACTAAGGATTCAAATGTGGTACTTGTGGCCCTAGCTGGCAAATGTCTAGCCATGCTGGCCAAAGGTCTTTCCAAGCGCTTCTCCACTTATGCAACGGTGAGTAAAACCTATTGATGTAACATACGTCCTTGCTCTACTCCTCATTTTCTTTAAGGCTTGCGTGCCAGCGCTGCTGGAAAAGTTCAAAGAGAAGAAACCCAATGTGGTCAACGCACTGCGTGAGGCTATGGATGCGATTTATTCATCGACAACGCTAGAGGCACAACAAGAACACATCGTAGAAGCGCTGACCAACAAGAATCCTAGCGTCAAGTCTGAGACTGCATTGTTCTTGGCACGTGCACTGTGTCGCACCCAGCCGACAGCATTAAATAAGAAACTTATCAAGCTGTTGACCACTTCTTTGGTCAAAACGTTGAACGAATCCGACCCCACGGTGCGCGACAGCAGCGCCGAGGCACTGGGCACTCTGATGAAATTGGTGAGCGAAAAGGCACTTGCGCCACTGCTTCTCGATGTGGATGCGCTCAAGATGGTAAAAATCAAAGAGTGCCACGATAAGGCCGAGATTAAAATTAAAGTAGCTGCACCCAAAAAAGAAGCTCGTCCGGCCACTGCGCCGACCACTAAAGCTGCAGCCGTTGTATCCAAGCCGACCGGCGGCAGCACAGAGCCCAAGGCAGTTACGCGACCCGCCACATCAGGTGCTCGAAAGACACTGAAAAAACCAGGAACAGGAGCGACAGGCGGAGCGCCCGCAGCAACGAACAAAACAGCCAGCAGCAAAGCCACAGTTACAGAACGTGAACTGACGCCTGAAGAAATACAGGAAAAAGCTGATGCGCTACTGTCAGCTGATATCTTAAACGGATTGGTCGACAGCAACTGGAAAAACCGTTTAGCGGCTATGGAACAGCTACTATCGCAAATTCCCAGCTATGATGCCCAACAACCGGGCCTATCTCAAACTTTAGTGCGAACTATTAGCGGTCGCAAACCTGGGCTCAAGGAGATGAACTTTCAGGTGCTCAAGCTTAAGTTGGACGCTATTCGATGTGTGGCTGAAAACTTTCCACTAACAGCTGTCACGGTAGACCATGTGGTTAATGAAATAACAGAGAAACTGGCTGATGCAAAGAACGGTGGCGCCGCCTCCGATGCTTTAAGCGCTTTATCCGAAGCAACCAAATTGGAGCAGGTCGTTAGTAAAGTGTTGAGCTTTGCCCTTGACCAAAAGTCACCCAAAGTACAGGCGGAGGCCTTTAACTGGATTAACAAGGCCATCGTGGAATTTGGTTTTAAGGTACAGCCCAAAATACTCATCGAAGATGTGCGTAAGGGTGTACAGAGCACCAATCCAACAGTTCGCGGAGCCGCTATCCAGCTGGTGGGCACTATGACAATGTACATGGGCAACGCAGTGATGCTGTTCTTCGACGGGGAAAAGCCAGCACTAAAATCTCAAATTCAAGCCGAGTTC